CTCTCCAGTATTAAGCCAGGCTCCGAATCAACAGGCGAACCCGATTCCATATTATCCTCCCCCATCATATCCACCGCCAGATGATGGGCAACAACAGAGGATAACCAATCAGGCCCAAGTTGAGTATAGTCCTGCCGGTGCACATCCCGAAGAAACGACAGCCACAGTTGATTCTAGCAGGCCGGTTATTCATAGGGTGGGTCAATGGTCGACGGTGCTCTTATATTGATGTGTCAATTATGCAAATACAGTGATTGTCATTGACTAAAAATGTTTAACGGTATTATTATGCCTACATTAATGATGTTTGACAGCCTCAGCAAGCACAACCCGTAACCGTTCAAAATATTGTCCGAAAGCCGCCTGTAAAGCCGCCAAAAATTGGATTGGAAAATTTTGATTTCCTTGCTGTACTGGGTAAAGGCAATTTTGGCAAGGTTAGTTTAGCAAATACCAAATATTGTATTGCTTAATGACTCAACCGCTTTAACCTTTGACTAATGACTGATAGGTGATGCTTGCTGAGGAGAAAGCTTCTAAGCGTTTATATGCCATCAAAGTTCTCAAGAAGGAATACATTATCGAAAACGATGAAGTCGAAAGGTATGCTGTAAGACAACGTTATTTTTTTTTTAAAAAAAAACAAATACATTCTATTGAAACATTTCAATTGTTTGATTAGTACTCGGTCGGAAAAGCGTGTCTTCCAAGCTGCCAATCGAGAGCGACATCCGTTTTTAGTTGGATTGCATTCGTGTTTCCAGACAGAGACGCGTATCTACTTTGTTATGGAGTATGTTAGTGGTGGTGATTTGATGTTGCATATTCAACGAGAGCAGTTTACCCCTCGTCGAGCTCAGTAAGTATATCAATATATTACTGCACGTGCAGTGAGTGATGCATATTATGCGTTTCATTATTGCGTATGAAGATTTCCATAATTAACTAAATTTTCAATCAACTTGTAGATTTTATGCCGCTGAAGTGTTGCTTGCTTTGGAATATTTCCATAAACAAGGCATTATATACCGAGATCTCAAACTCGACAACATTCTTCTTGCATTAGACGGTCATATTAAGATAGCAGATTATGGTTTATGCAAGGAAGAAATGTGGTATGGCAACACAACAAACACGTTCTGTGGAACGCCTGAATTTATGGCACCTGAGGTACGGTATACCATACCGGTAATATTGTTCTTTGAACAGATGTGAATTCTGACAATAACCTTTATTAAAGATCCTCCTAGAGAAGAGATATGGACGTGCAGTGGATTGGTGGGCATTCGGAGTGTTAATATACGA